TTGTTAACATCATCACCATCACCTTCATCCTACTAATCATCCTCAACCATCATCATCCTTATTCTCATCATCATCAACCTCATCCTTATCCTCCTTATCATCATCACTCATTCATCATCGTAGTCCTCATATCATCATCATTGTCATTATCATCCTCATCATCATCCTCATTACAATCATCATCCATCATCATCCTTGTCCTCATCATCAACCACATCATCCTTTATCATTATCAATCATCATCCTCATCATGAGGGTGATAATGAAGAGGGTGAGGACGACAAGAATGAAGATGAGGATGAGGGGCAGACGGGATGTTTCTCATCATTCGTCATCATTAACCTCATCAACATCATTCTCATCAATCATCCTCATCATTATCACGATGCTGTCTCTTATACACATCTAGATGTGTATAAGAGACAGCATCATTATCACGATCACCCTCATCAACGACCATTATCATCAATCATAATCATCATCATCCTTATTTTCATCATCATCAAACTCATCATCCTAATCCTTCTCCTCATTATCCTCACCATCCTTATCAGCATCATTTTTTTCCTCATCATCATCCATCATCAATCATCATCTACCTCATCATCTTCCTTCTCCTCATCAGCCACATCATCCTCATCATCATTCTTATCTTAATCACCATAATCATAATCATCATTACCATCATCCTCATTATTATCATCATCATCATCGTCATCATTACCATTATCATTTTCATCATTATCCTCTTCATCATCAGTCACTATTATCATCATGAGGATGATGAAGATGAGGATGACAAGAATGAAGATAAGGACAAGGGTGAGGATGAGAGGGATGATTCTCATCATTCATCATCATCATTCTCATCAATCATTTTCTATCATTCTTATCACCATCATCACAATCATTATCATCAACAACCATTATCATCAATCGTAATCACCATCATCTTCTTCCTCACCATCATCTTTCTTCTCCTCATCATCATCAACATCCTCCTTATAATGGGGAATATAATGAGGATGGGGATGACAATAAGGAAGATGATGATGATAATAATAATGACATCAGTATATTAAGAATAACAATATTAACGCTAATATTAATGTGAATTTATAAACTATACATTTTTTTAAACGCATAAGAATAATGGTATACTATATTAATAATATAATAGAGTAACAACATAATAGTATACCAATGATGATGAAGAAAAATGTAGTGTAGAAAGATTAACTTTAATTAGGTAAACATTTCCCTTAATTTTGATTGTCGTAGTCTTGGAATTCGGTGTGTTGACGTCATCATTCCAAATTTGCTTGGGAGGTGGGGAATTCCCGTCTGACAGGCCTAAACTCCCATCGTCCGATGCCTCGACAAGGTTGCCACACCACAAATAATGTTATCCATATAACATTATTTTGATTGCCAATCCCTAATATTTTGGCTTACAAGCAAAATTTTGGGCCATACAAAGCTAAAAAGAAACTCTCCCATAAGCCCAGGGAAGTTTATTCCGGGACGCTGACCGAGGGTCTAGTCGGCCCTGTGTTTGGACCCACACTATCAGACCCCCTGGG